AAACGGTGGAGTATTTGATACCAGACACCTGATCTTTCTCTTTCTAGCTCACCACACACACACACACACACACACACACACACACACACACACACACACACACACACACACACACACACACACACACACACACACACACACACACACACACACACACACACACACACACACACACACACACACACACACGCACATGCACACATACACACCAGCACACACATACTCTTGGGTCCTTTACATGTCCTGAGGGTGACCCATGAAGACTAACTCAGATGTGACACTGGTGTCTGGTCCCTCGGTGATGATGTCACTGACAATAAGTGATGTCACTGATCCAGTTTCCAGTGCTCTAGTTTCTTCTCCTCTCTTATTCCCTTCTCTATAGGCCATATGAAAGAGGTATTTTAAAGTCACTGAAAAAAAGCAAACCCATAATGTATTTTTAACTGTAAAAAAGCTATGATCTGCTTATATCTTCAAACGTGCTTGAGTAATAATAAATTACATTGAAGATTCTTCCATTTTATTTTCTGTCAAACGGATGTCCCTGTGCAACCGTATTAAATATAAAATCATATATAAGGTCTCTGCAACTAAGTATTATTACCATAGAGACATGTCCCAACAATGGCAAAAAACTTCAAAATATAACTGCTTACCAACATATGTATAGTTTTTCAGGGTTAACATTTAAGGGATCATCTCAATGCGTGGATATGCAGTATTTGGTCCAACAGATTGTGCATCTTTATTTATAACCACATACTGTATATTTAAACCATGTTTGTACTTGTTTAATATATCAGGCAAAAATATGAGTTTTGCAGAGATTTTCTCTCGCCCTATGTGCCCACAAGACACTTAGCTCCTTTCCTTTGATACAAGTCCATCCATCCATGCAGTAAAATCCTGGGCAGACGTTCAGGAAGCAGAAGAGGTGAAGACCTGCGAGATGATTTGTTGATGATCGTCTGCAGAACATTTGTTCAGATGCACGCTCAGTACAAAGGAAGCCAGAAGCCGGAGCTGTAGCGCTGCGTCTCGGATAAAAGGGGCAAAGTCACTCGTGCCAACCAATCCAAACTTGGCTCTCATTCTTCTATTGTACTGCTCTCCTCTCAGTTAAATCTGGCAGCCTCTTCACATCGACCAATTTACAGAAAGTCCTAAATTGAATTACTGAACCTCCAAGTTGGCAGATGTCCTGCTTCATTCTGCTTCGACTGTGTTTAGTCTTGAACATATGTCTCTCCTGGGAGAGTTGTAGTGAACCCATTTGCTACCCACTGACAATCTGGAAAGTGAACTAAGTTATTTTATTGCCTTTGGCTCTCCTGTGAATACAGTGTGGTTTGATAGGCTTTCAATAGGCCATGCTATTGATAATTACTTGTGTGCTGCCCTCTATTTTTCACACAGTTACACAAAGAAGATAACTTTATCACCCACCCAAAACCACAACAATTAAGTGAAGTTTGTGACATTGAACACACAGTTAAGAGTCTTACAATCTCAGACTGAAATCACATATATTAGTATTCAAATTAAAGCCTACCTAGATTTCTGAGACCACATATACTTTACAAAAAAAGGAAAACATATATATTTCAAAAAATACATTTCAACTAATAGATTACTCTTATAAATACAGAGCCGTGGCTTGCAAATGTGTCTCAGATTTTTAGCAAACAGCTGATTGGAAACTTACATTTTAAACTAGCATGTGGTAAAAATGAAGTGGATCATCCCAATTGTACTGCATGTGAAAAGCTTTTCAAAAGGTCCAACTTTTGTAAATGATATTTTTTCCCCACCAGAGACTTGACAGCTTGTGGTTTCACTGGAATCACAATATGACGATGATTCAGATTGTTCCATGTTAAGCCTTTTAATTAAGTCAGCGTCCATTTATGTAAAAAAAATATAAAATATAAAACTGTCACTTATATCTGTTTAATTGACTTTTACTCATGTATTTGTTTGTGAATCTGTGTCTGTGTGTGTAGAAGTTCAGCTGTGAGTGTGAACACAACACATGCGGGGAAAGCTGTGATCGTTGTTGCCCCGGTTACAACCAGCAGCCCTGGATGGCGGGAACCTTCCTGACTCGACATGTCTGCGAAAGTAAGGAAAACACACAAAAAAATTGCACACAACTATCTACAACTCCTACTTTTCTAGAAACCAGCAGTCACTTTTTAAACTTTCTCTACTTTTTAATGTTTTTCCAGACTTCTTATGGTACTCTAGGCGACCACATTGTTTATTATAATGCTGCATATGTACCCACAAATGTCAATAGACAACATGCCTGCAATACTACTTCCGCACACCTTCAGTTTATATGACCCCAGACTTTATGAAACTGTGAAGGAGCTCACTGAAATAAATATCCTTGCCTGCCAATCAGGTCAGGATGAGTCTTTGATGTGAGACTGTATAAAGCCATCAAAAGTCACCTTAGCATCCATTAACCTTCATCATCTACGTAGCAGCACGGCGAGGAGGTTAGAGGCTTCTACCTGTCATCATAAAACTATGATTACAACATGTAATCTTCATTTTATTTCACACAGGCTACTCCTTCTAACAGGCTATAGTCTTCATGGCCTGATAACAGCTACTCCCGCCTTGACACAACAGGACTGAGGTGACACGACTTTAAAGGTCCTGACAGCACCATAAAGGAGGCAATGACTTCAGCCCATTCAGAATCAGAGTGTCTCAGAACGCTGAACAACCAATGCTTGCAGAGGGTTGCAAAAATGGCTGCATTACACCGTGCACTGTCTTTTTTGTTGGTGTCCATGTTAATCATTTCGGCTCTCCGCTGTCTTTATCAAAAGTTTGTGCGTCTGGTAATTTTCTATGTGTGCCACGAGCAAATCCGGCAAGAAAACACACTTATAAACTATTATAATTTAAGGATATATGATAACATTTATACGTTTCTGATCCATGAAAATATATCAAATTAAATCAAATGTTATTTTTAAAGCCCAATATCACAAATGGCATATTTGTCGAGGTAGATTTGGAGTGTGTATCGCATAAAACATCCCCTGTCCTTAGATCCTCACGGCATACAAGAAAAAACTCAAGAAACCCCACAATTAATGGGGGGAAATGAGAGAAACCTCCGGGAGAGAAACAGAGTGTGTATATGGATAACAAAAGATATTAAAATAAAATAAAACATAGACAACGCGAAAAATATGATTATATTTTTTTTAGTTATGCATCATAAGATATGCTGTCTCCTAAGGTTTGTATTCCCCCATATTATTCATTTAAATACAACAGCTTGATTAGGATAAGCTCTAAGGGTGAATAATACACAGGCTACTAAAGTGCAACAAGTGACACGTCGTGGTGTTTATACACAGCCGGGGTTATACAGCCTGGTTCAGAGTGATTGTTTAAAGCCATCTGATGCTGGAGATGGATGAAGGCCTAGCTGGGATTGGGCGTCTTGGGGAAAGCAGCACAGAAGGGAAGCCCAGCAGCAGCAAACGGCTTCACAGGTCAGCTGAGCCAAGTCTGAGATCAGACCTGGAAACGGGCCCTGAAATGTTCTGGGGATAAATTGGCCAATGCGCAAATTTCCACTACTGTTATTCCCCCTAACAGAACTGTCAACAACTGTTCCTATTTTTCCACAGAAATGAAATCCTTCCTCAAAGTATCATAAACCCTCTGAGAAACTACAGTGTTTCCCAACATCATAATGTGTTTCTCTAAGAGATCCATGTGACCCTTCTTCTATCATGTCCACAGAACAATGCTTTGCTTTTCTTTTTTAAAGTCTAAATGGTAAACTTGGTGAGTAGGAAACGGGATTAATGCTAGGCAACCCACTCACAATCAAACTGTGGAAAATACCCACTTTTTTTCCTCTCTGGACCGTGGAGATAACACGCAGCTCAGGGTCAGTGTGTGCACCTCAGGGCACTGTCTTCAGAACAGGGTTTGATGTTTCTGTAAACTCCTACGTGGAAGAAGTAAATGGATTAAAAGAGTGGCCCTCCTTGCTTCAAGCTCCGTATTCGGATAGGAAAGTGGAGGCAACAATCCTGCAATACAACACTAACACGTTATTGTGTGTGTGTGTGTGTGTGTGTGTGTGTGTGTGTGTGTGTGTGTGTGTGTGTGTGTGTGTGTGTGTGTGTGTGTGTGTGTGTGTGTGTTTGTGTTTGTTTGTGTGTGTGTTTTCAGAGTGTAACTGCCACAATAAGGCAGAGGAGTGCTACTTTAATCAGACGGTAGCAGACCTGTCACTCAGCCTGAATGTCCAAGGTCAAAACAGAGGGGGCGGAGTCTGTATCAATTGCCAGGACAACACAGCTGGAATCAACTGTCAGATATGTGCTGCGGGATTTTACAGACCTGCCGAGGTACGTTAAACATTCGCATGCACCTCTGCTTTTTTTATAATGTGTTATGATCAACTTAGTGTTTGTGAAAATGCCCCTTGCACCGTTCTTTTGTAGTTTTTCTTTTTTCTTATGTCTTAAGTATATAGTATGTTGCACTGGAGGAGCCTGGGACTTCGAGATTTGTATTGCCAAAATGAAGCTGTAGCTATTGTGCATATGACACTAAAGCCTTTACATCATTAATCTTGAAATTATTGTTTTCCTCACCAGGTGAACGCTGAGGAGGAGGACCCCTGCATCCCCTGCTCATGTGACCCGCATGGCTCTATCAGCCAATCATGTGTCTCGGATTCAAGCCAGGCTACGCCTCGTATGCTAAGATCATTTTTAAGTGTTCCTCTCTGTCCTTATGTGTATCGTCTTTCTGATTATTGTTCATGTTGGATATAGTAGTAGAACAATTGGAGGTACTCAAACCCCCATCTTAATTTATATTATTTCAATTACATTTCATTGATTCCTTCCTGCTTGATTTCCTATGGGAGTTTGGGTTAGTTTAGTTCAGACTGTCCACAGAAGCTGTTGAACACTATTGAACACACTCTATTTTTGAAAGAATACAAATACTATTTATATTAGAGATAATTGTACTCTTCTTATCGGAGCTATTTTAGGTTGCAGCCACTTCCAGGAGATATCCATTATGTTTCCCTCATACTGTTGTTTTCTTTTTTGTGTCTGTGTGTGTGTTTTTGACTGACAGTTCAGCCAGCAGGGTCATGCCGGTGTAAGGAGGGTTTTGGGGGTCTGCAATGTGACAGGTGAGACACACACACACACACACACACACACACACACACACACACACACACACACACACACACACACACACACACACACACACACACACACACACACACACAACACATAGTAACAGAGACAGACACTATGTGACAGGTGAGCAGAACATGTTCAGCTGTTGTCTGATCCAATTAGTGTTTAGAAAGTTTCTATTGAGATCTTTAATTATATTGAATATGACACACATGGTGTTTGCCTTGCACATAACAAAAGGAATTGGACATCGAATGAATATCAATTTGATTTGTTTTTCCTTGAATGCAACATGGAAACTCTTTGATAACTTATATATAAAAAAATAAATAATCAGGACCTAAACGCAGCTTATTACCATTAAAGGTAGCCTTGTTTTACTTACTCAAATTAAAACAAATAAACTGTTAAACTTTCAACAAAGTGCTTTATCTTGAATTGTTTATCACTCATTATAATTATCAATATCTGTTTTATCTTTTGTCCCCTACTGCAACTACTCTACTTCCCTGTGGGTCTCATTTCATGTAATCTGATCTAATCTAAAAGCTTATACAACTTCTCCGGCAAACTTTTTAATGACCTGCCTTCAAATCAGGCCAACCGCATAAGCATCGTCTTTACAATCACTTCTTAATAGACTTTCGCTTGACCCCACTTTCTCTCTTAATTAGAGAGTCATTTCTAATATATTTCCTCTGAGACTACACACACATGCTCGTCACCTGTGGTGCAAGGTCAGCTGTTTGTTGCACACTGAAGAATCAGATCAGGATGGACGCGGCGGTTGTTAGAATAATTGACCCTGTGACCTCTCTAATACTCGTCACACTCATCATTATTATTGTTATTAAACCCATTTGTCTGCAGGTGTGCTGTGGGTTATATGGGCTACCCGTCCTGCCAGCGCTGTAACTGCAGTGTGGAGGGAAGCACCAACGCTGACCCGTGTGTAACACCGTGTGTGTGCAAGGTACTCACACTTTTATGCGCACAAATAATGGCACTGCCCTAACCTTTCTAGCCCTGTCATCATTATCTTCACCACATTAACACTGCAATAACATGCTTTGTGCTCAGAACGTCAGTTTGAGGGCAGCCTTTTAAACTTTTTATGTACCCTCTGTCTTTCTGTCCTGCAGGAAAACGTGAAGGGAGGAAACTGTGACCGCTGTAAACTGGGATTCTTCAACCTGCAAGGTTACAATCCAAGAGGCTGTGACAAATGCTCCTGTATGGGCATCTCCAGCCAGTGCTCGGCCTCCACATGGTCCTATCACAATGTAAGCACACAGACAGCCAATATCTATGTGTCTTCATCTGAGTTTTATCATATACAAATTGTGAAAAGGTTGTTAGCTATTCCTGAAAAGCAAGGCAAGTTTATTTATATAGCACCTTTTAACCAAAAGGCAATTCAAAGTGCTTTACAAGAAATTAAAAACATTAAGAGCACTAAGAAGTATGCAGCAGAAACACATTATGAAATGACATTTAAATACATTTAAAAACATGCATTAAAAAGCCTTAAATAGAATAAGACATGTCAAAATATACAAATAACAATGCAGTTTAAGATATTAATCGTTATTTTTTTATTTAGCCTTTATTTATACAGGTGTAGATACAGTAACAGTAGTTATTTGCAGCTACTCTAGCCTAATATGACGTCCTCCACTACACTGTGTTTCTACCACTATGCAGGCTAACACAGGGGAGAAGTGGGCAGAGATACGCAGCCTATTTCGTTGCTGAAAGACCAAACTCTGTTTCTTTATTGATCCAAAAATGAGCCAAAATGACAGCGGTTATTGTTTATATTTCTATTACGTCAACTCTCTGCCGCGCCTATGGCCATCATGTGATCCATAACAAGGCTGAGGTGAATACATGGAATAGCATACTTCATTCATGGGAATGCAGTCATTGCTTCACTTGTTGCGTCAATGAGCAATAGTAGTAGCAGTAGGGCATGAAGTGTTTAAGCGAATACACATATTCACAAGATATTCATTTAAAATAATGGATAGTTATGGAGCACAGTGGAGGAGAGGGCGAAGGAGAGAAAGCCAAAGGACAAGACTGGAAAGAGGAAAGTGGAGACAAGACAAGAGGTGAGGTGGGGGAGAGAGGTGAAAAGAGGAAAACAGTTTTTGACTGACAGCGGGGTGAGAGAGGCGGGGAGAGGAGACGTTGACAGGATGACAGCCCTGATTTAGACACCGATAGAGTGTGTGTGTGTGTGTGTGTGTGTGTGTGTGTGTGTGTGTGTGTGTGTGTGTGTGTGTGTGTGTGTGGGGGTGTGTGGGGGTGAATGTGTGGGTGTGTGTTCAAAAGGGGAAGCCAAGGTCAGGTTAATTGCAACGACAGATGTGTGTCTGACACACACACACACACACACACACACACACACACACACACACACACACACACACACACACACACACACACACACACACACACACACACACACACTTTCAGGAGTTAAGAAAAAAATAAGTACATTTAGGTATCAGTTGGAAGACTCCCTTGCTGAAATGTAATACAACATCTTTCAAAATATTTCAGTTTCACATATTTTTGTTTATACATCTTCACATTTCAGGTGGGACCTTAAGATAGCATAACATGTAGTGATTTAAGAATGAATGTGCTACACAATTATAGCTGCAATTCTTTTTAAGAATTTGACCACAGGCCATTATTAATTAAAGCTTTTCATATTTTAAAATGAGTTGAACATGATTGGAGACTCCTACAGTATGGATAACTATTTGAACAAGCATGAAACTGTATTTATGCATGAAGGTCAGTTCTGTTGGAGACTCTGTGATTATGCTTTAAACAAACACACTGAAATCTTCATAACTTTATTCCAACATTTTACAACATGAGTTGCTCTTAGTGTGAAGGTGAAGGGGCAGCTATGCTACTGAAAACATACACTAGCATACTGTAACAGGTTGAAAGCTAACTCCTTTGCTGCAACAGGCAAAGTGTCCGACCTTATCCAATCGTCTTTACAGAATGACCAGAGCGTTGTGGGATACATTATTATGCTACTTCTTGGTACATTTTAAACTACATTTGAAATGAGATGCAGTGGCCCATGGTCTAAGCCTATTTATAGTAAATATTAGCCTTTTAATGTCAATATAAGAATACAAGCTATTGTTTTCTCAGTAGAAGGAGCTGAAAGTAAAAACAATTTCTTCTTCTGGTGTTTTAGGAGACCACTCTGACGGGCTGGCACCTGCTTGGAGAAACAGGAGGAAGAGTGTGGTCCGTTCACAGACAGACTCCTCCATACCTCAGCGTCCGTCACTCAGACGTTGTGAATGACCTCGGCTCAGCGTACTACTGGAACGCACCTGAGCTTTACCTGGAAAACAAGGTGAGATGCAGATACACACTCTTATCCATTAACACATATTGTTCATGCAGTCTGCAATTAAATTATAGTGAGCATTTTGTAAAAACTGAAAAAGAAAATGGTTTAAACCTTTGCTTTGGAGAATAATGGGTAACACTTTATATTAAGGTACACAAATTAACCATCAACTAGTTGTTAATTAGCATGCATATTAGCAGTATAATGGCTCTCTATTAGTCATTATACAACACTTATTAATGCCGTATTCTACATGACCATATTCTACAAGTAATAAGCCATTAGTTGAGAGTTTTTCCTCATTAACCCTCTAATTAGTGCTTATTTATTGCAAGTAAGGAAGTTGTTGTACATGAGTTTTGGTCTTAATATGCGCTGCTTAATATGGGCGTAATAAGGCAGTAGTAGCACAAGAATAGTCATTCTCCCATAATAACACTTAACAAATATGATCTATTCTTATGGAACAAGACATGAAACTAAGTGTTAATTGTGTCTAAATAACTCAAAATTAGGTATTTATATCTTATAATATGTTTTGGGGTAGGCCTATTGACAGTTCAGCTACCAATAGCAAGGTGATATTGACCTGTATGTTTCATATTTGCACATTTATATTTTTGTAAAATGTGTACTGAAGGTTAGACCCGGGTACAGGAAGTAGGAGAACGTGAACGGAATATAATGGCAGTAGACATCCATGAGTACACTGCCACTAATTTTCCCTATGCAACCTGAAGAGTAAAAGGGTCAAGTCCGTCAGAAAGCAATGACTGTAAGTGTGAGCCTTACACTTACACTGTAAGGATTAGTAACATGTATTGTGTTTATGTGATGACATGTGGAGATGTTTAAACTCAATGAGAAAATGCGTTAGCATTCGCGCTAGCGTTAGCATACACGGTAGCGTTAGCATACATGCTAGCGTTAGCCATACTAGCCTGTATACATGCTTATTGTACAGCTAGCATTAGCTATGTTTACCTTGTTTACACTAAGCGGTCCTAATGTGTTCATCTGTGTATGTTACACTTGCATGTATGAGATCATTAAGTGCCTTGTAACTTCTTTTTTTATAGTTTCACTCCGTTTGAATGTCACTGGACTGCAAATAAGTCAATAAAGGAGCATGGCTGCTCATTCCCTGGCTCTCAAAAGAGTTTGGCTGGCTGTTTAATCTATGTTCACACTGAGACAACACAGAGAGAGAACAGTACACCTATTGTGTAAGAACATACAAGCAGGTCACACAGTATGATCACAAATACATAAACTCTGTTAAAAATCAGTTGTTATTAAAAAGTACAGGCTGCATGTGTGTTCTCAGCCTTGGAGAAACTTGACATGTTTTGGTACATGTATGTGTCTGAACCTCTCTTTAGTGGTTCATTAATAAAACAGATATTTCAACGTGTGCCTACTTTGTTCATGTACTGTTGAGGTTAATTTCAGTAGTTGTGTGCTATAATGTATTTACAAAGTGTGAAGAGGAGGCAACTTTAGAATAGGGAACCTGTTCTGGTCAATTAGAGTCAAACTAATAGCTTATTGGTTATGAACAAGACTTCACTTTAGAATAGGGAACGTGTTCTTAGATATAAATAGCTAATTTTGAGTTGTTTAGACTTAATTAACACTTATAGTTTCATGTCTTGTTCCATAAGAATAGATTATATTTGTTAAGTGTTATTATGGGAGAATTACTATTCTTGTGGTACTACTGCCTTATTAGGCCCATATTGGGCAGCGCATATTAAGACCAAAACTCATGTACAATAAGTTCCTTACTTGCAACAAATAAGCACTAATTAGAGGGTTAATGAGGAAAAACTCTCAACTAATGGCTTATTACTTGTAGAATATGGTCATGTAGAATAAGGCATTCATAAGTGTTTTATAATGACTAATAAAGAGCCAATATACTGCTAATATGCATGTTAATTAACAACTAGTTGATGGTTAATTTGTGTACCTTAATATAAAGTGTTACCGAATAATGCTTTCCCACTTACATAATGTGTTCCTTTTGAGCAAACTGTCAGTTTTCCACTTCAGTTTAAATGTAAATGTAGTGGTTGTACTGTAAAGTAATTAAAAATCCAGTTGTTCATTTGTAATTATATGAGTTCAAGTTAAAAATAATTAAGGGTGGATTTTATTTTGACTATCCTACTGTAATTATACTCTCAGTTTTTGTGTGTAGATTTTCCTATACAACTCTGACCAACACTGACAACTACATGACAGCAAATTATGTTTAACGATAAGTTAATTAAAGCTTACATTATTTGACATTCATAGTTTCAAGTTTAAAAAAACATGCATAGTATTCAGTCAAAATAAAGCTTTAGTGGCTACAGAACGTTTTCAGTGTATTGAAAAATACATTACTTCAATGCAGGATGAATACAATACAAAGTAATATCACACAGTGCCTAAAAGTACGAAAGGTTCTGCCTCAGAAATAGCCATAAAAGTAAACAACACCTCCTCTCTAATACAGTTTCAACAACACATTTTTTCTTAAGAATAATACGTTTTCAGAGACTGGATTGTATTAGATAGGTCGGATGCTCCTGTAGTTGCTTCCATTCACTTTGAATCTGAAATACACCACTGTCCTCCTATAAAAAACATTATTTGAATTTAATATATCTCGTGCGAAATCACTTCATATTGAAAGTTGGAATAATAAAGACAATTGTATCTGCTTAGGTTTAAGGTGTTGAAAAAGAAAACGTCTTTGCACTTCTTTTTTTATCAAGGATGTATCGAAGGTGTAGCACCAGCAGTCAGACTTGTCAAGGTCACTATAGTACATCAGTTGAGTAGTTTGGTTTTGTGTTTGATTACACTTAAAACATAAAGGTGATCTATCTAAAGTTTCATCCCCCTGTCCAAATATGTTTCTGCTAACTGACAAAAACATTGACTTTCTAATTGCCTAATGACATCAATGACAGGCAAAAACACAACAAATCTGACATGAGACTACATCATTAAGACAGGATTTAATATAAAACCAAATCAGGTTTATGATCTAAAAGGAAATCCCCTGTGTGGGCGACTGTGGCTGTGAGATGTTGTGGTAGTCTAACAATCGTTGTGTCCTTGGTAAAGATACCTAACCCCAAGTTGCTCCTGATGGCATTGCCAATGGTGTGTGAATGTTTAAAGGTCACCTATTATGCAAAATCCCCTCTGTGTAAAGAGATACTGAAAGTACTGAAAGTTTCATGAAAAAAGATTCTCTCACTTTTTGTCCATTTATATAAAAACCTGTCTGAAAATAAGCTGAAAAGATTTTGGCCACTTTATGATGTCAACGTTTTTTTGTCTTGTGTAACCATTAGCCAATCACCAACCAAGGTAACCCCCCACCTTATCACCTGAATCTCCTCCTAGAGCACCATTGTGTTCTTTGTAACCAAATGTCTCTCAGAGGGGCGTGGGGAGGGGCTCCTTATTTTCATCTAAAGTAACAGACAGAGAATCAGCACTTTGGAAACAGGGCTGAAACAGAGGGGATTATGGGTAATGCTGCAATGATCTGTTTGGAGTTTGGAGCCAAACACTTCAGAGACATGTTCTGTATATATCTGAGACCTATAATATATTGATGAAAAACAGTATAATAGGATGCCTTTAAAAGTTTGTTTCCATGTGCCATCTGCACCTTATATGGCAGGCTCAGCTTCAGTGTATCAGTGTTTGTGGATCGGTTAATGCTGACTTTTTTTTTTATATAAAAGCGCTTTGAGGGGCTTTATAAATGCAGTCGATTTACCCCTGGATGTAAGCCGTGCTCCACTGTATCTCTTCCTGCTAATGTGGACTCTTTGAGTTTCCGCAGCGGTTTTCTGTGGCCACGATTAGACTTCATCACTCCAGCTTGCAAATAGCTGCAGTCCATGTTTCTGAAGTCGGGTTGTTGCCCTACTACAACAACAACAGACTGACTGTGATGTTTGTCTGGGTGTCATGGCTTAGAGTAATATAGCACAGAATTTCATTACTTTGCACCCTGCAGGCCTAGCTTGTCATCTCACTTCTTTGTCTGATCCTCTTTCCCTCCTCCCTCTAACCATCCCTCCGTCCCCGCTTCTTTTCATTGGTCCGCTTCTCTGACTCTCCCTCCGTCTCTCCAGGACTCCCATTGTTCACCTCCCTCTTCCTAAATCATCTCCCTCTACTTCCCTCAAGCTTTCTTCCTTCTCTCGTTCCGTGTCTCTCTCGCTCGCTTTGTGTCTCTCAGGGTAAACAGTGTTTCGCCTGTTGAACTCGATAATCAACTGTTTTTCTCTTAGCACACACACTAGTATACACACACACACACACACACACACACACAAACAAAACAGCAACACATATTCTCATTCAGACACATACTCACACAGTCGCACACACTCCCAGGCCTATATAAGTCAGATAATGATGTGTTTTGGAGGCATTAGGGACAGCGGAGCCGAACCGAATGCCTCCAAACATGGGAAACAAACAAATTACCAGTGTGTGTGTGTGTGTGTGTGCGCTTGTGTGTGTGTGATTGCTAGAAGCAGTGTGCGAGTACTGTATGTAAAAGTGATTCTTTGCTTCAATCGCTGATCGTGTTACAGAGATAGATGCTATGTGACTTGACTATGACACACACACACTGCGGTTTGTCATATTAGCGAGTATCATTGGAAGTGACAGGCAGTGTGTGTAATGACAAGCTAGCAGTGGATGTATAAGAGTATACATGTGTGTGATAATGTTCTTATTCCTCCTGCATGAACTCCTGTATATCACCAGAGATGCTCATTGGCCTATTAGTGTGCTTCGCTCTGTGGATGCTCATTGGTCCAGAAGCATGTTCCTTTGATGCTCATTGGGTATTGTGTATGTCCACTGCTCATTCACAAGCATAGCCATTTCAATTACTGATAAACTGGATTCCTGTGGTTTAGAATGCAGATAAGTTGGAATCGGCATGAAGAGCCAAATAAAGCTGACAATGTTGC